TTCAATCAATATGTGATGCATAAAGCGGGGGGGCGGGGGGGGGCGGGTACTCTCATGCATTGCATGCCTTAGAGGTTCCACCATTGACCACGCGTCTTCGAGAGGACGGAGCATTGTTGTTGTCCCCACAGGACCGATCACCGATGGCCAAGGCCTTGGATCCAATCGATCGACGACCCGAAACTGAAGTTTCCGGGCCTCCGCTCTGTACACCGTACCATACCATATACCATCTCCGGTCTATGTGGAACACGCATCGTACCTGGGCGAAGAAGAAAAGGCCCAAATGCTCACACCAAAAAAAAAAAAGTATAATAGTGAGTCAAGAAACACAGCTCGGGCAAAAGGAGCCTGCGCCAGACCCTAACAATTGATCTTCGACCCGACATTGAAGTTTCCGGGCCTCTGCTCTGTACCACACCATACCATATACCATACCATCTCCGGTCTATGTGGAACACGCATCGTACCTGGGCGAAGAAGTTGGCCATGAGCTCGTCGTGCGAGCAGATGGGCTCCCCCTTGATGTGCAGCGGGTTCTGGCTCTCGATGAACCCGATGAACTCCGCCGGGCATACCTGCTCGGCGGTTTTCGCAGCGAAAAGATCAGCCTTACCTTTGTTTTCCAACCGCTTTTTTTGTGGGTCTCATGGTTGGTATTCAAGAAAGAGGGGCCAACATTAGGTAAAATGGTTGTGATATTAGCTACGTATATGCACGCCTGCTGCAGGACCTTACTACTGCTGTGGAGGAGAAACACTGGTATGTGTTATTTTGGTTTCGTCCAAGGATCTTGACGAGCCCGGTGGCCTCGGCCGGGCATACCTGCTCGGCGGTTTCAGGAACGGTGGCCGTTGACACTCAGTCGAGAGAGGCGATGCGATGCGCATGTGTATGAATAATGTATGGATGGGGTGCTGTTTGTTCTTGTTTTGGGTATTGTTGGTATTTGTTTATTATAGTTTTGGGGACGCGAGATTATTACACAGACGCTGCGGGAGATTAACACTGCTGTGGAGGAGG